AACGATCATTTTCTAATCTACCTTTCAAGCCGTAATACTCACCATAACTGTTCACTTCGATTGATTTTCTTTATTTGCAGGCAGTCGGTAGCAAGCCGTGGACCTGAGTTTCGTGTGTGTATATGTGTGTGTGTGTGTTTTAGATCAGAATGTCCATGTAATGTCTATGACTTTGGCGCTGGGTGATATGAGTTCTAATCTCTAAGGGATTATAACTTCCTTGGAGGTTGCAGGTGCACCTTCCTCACGAGTGCCAATAAGCATGAAACCTACGTTCATTTGTCTCGAGCCATCTAACATCTTTCGAAGTGCATGGTGCTGCTGAGTCTCCCATTTTACTGATCAAATTACAAAATGATCAATAGAATTCGAACAGGTTTCAGGATTAGACAGTCTAAAATTATTTACTTTCAAGTAACCAATCGATGTTATTGTTTTTTTTAATCTCTCATTTCTAGCAGTAAGGAGGCTACCCGATGTGAGTAAACTTTCATGAAGTAACAAAAGAATATGTACTTCACAGAGGTTTTACTTTAAATTTTCTCAGAATACCTTATTGGTGTGTAACGTGGATATTTGAGATGCACTTGATTCTCTCCTTGAATGAAATAGTCATACAATAGTTTATATTTTAAGTTCATAAATAATTATGATTGAGTACGTTTGATAGATTGAACCAGGTATGTCGTAGACAGAATAAGTTTGTTATTTGAATTTTCTGTAATATTATAATTATTAGTGATTACAAACTGTAGATGGTAGAATTCGAAACGATTGTACTACTGCTAGTAATGAATTCTTACTACTTATATTCAAGTCAGTATTAATATGTAGTACAACTATCGAGTCAATCGTAATGTACTTCAACTCAACATTCTAAACAAAGAAAAAACGTTAAGCGACTAGGTAATCAGTAATTTGTGCTCAGATTAGGATAATTAAATTGCTTTGAAATTCTCACAGTTTAAATCAGTTTACTTCCAGATGAGTGTGTTTAATATCTAGTCATACAATGATCAACAAAATGTAATTCTCATACCACAGTAGTCTAGTGAATATCTCTTTAGAAGCGATGGATACTAGATTTGAGTCCTATTGGTGAATTAGGGTGCAGCTATATCCACCTGATGACTCCCAAATAAGACGAAACGACATCTTGATTTCACTGCTAACCACCAAGTAGATTACATCATAATATCTCAATTTAATTATTTCCTACTATGCTATCTGTTGATAAATTCTATTACAGCGAAGTTCGCAAAACAATAAAGGATTATTTCTTTATGTGATAGCTTCTGTTTAGCTTTAGACTGTCTACAATGCATAAAGAGAATCACTAAAGGTTAAAGGTATCTTAATAAACATAGTCCTGGATGATTTTCATGGATTGTATAGCTGAATCATGTATTATTATTATTATTTGTCCCTTTGGTTCCTAGTGGAACATAGGGCTTCAGTAGCATGTCGTCATTTCACCCTCTTCTCTGCAGTCTTTTGAACCTGGTTCCACGACTGAGCAAAAGCTTTCATTTCTTCCCCACATGATCTCCTCCATGTTACCCTTAGCTAAGACGCCCAACTTATCGTTTCCACTTTGGATTCCACTCGACGTCCTGACGCGTGATATCCCCAGTCGGCCTTCTCAGTGTATGCCCAATCCATCTCCACTTTCTTCTGCATATTTGTTGGGTGATTGGTTCTCAGTTGGTTCGTTGCCAGCTAGCCAGAGTTTCTTGTTGCTTATTCTTTCTGGCTTTCTCATCTGATCTTCAGTATTGGGTGTGGGCGGCAGCTGGTGATAAATGTCTGCAGTTTGTTGGAGAGGCTTTTCGTAACGTGCCAAGTTTGTGGAGCATATAGAAGCACTGACTTGACTGATATTAGTGTCCAAAATCTAGATCTTGTTCACGCTTTATGCTGAGTGCAGTATATCTGGACACTGGATTCAGATTGATGAAGGCCTATCTTGCTGTCTTTCCGATCTTAGCTTTGACGTCCTCATCTGTGCCGCCATCTGTGGTAGTTGCAACGATGCTGCTTAGTTGATAGGTGAAAGAGACTGCTTCGTTTAGATTTCTCCCGTTGATGGTGATTGGTGCCTGTTGTTGTTGATTGGGTATACTATACGTTTTATTTCCGTACATATTATGATTCTATGTATTAAGCCGTCTGTATACGGTTGAAGTTGTTAAATAAAGAAATGAGCACTTTTCTCTTCTATAATTTTTTTTTTGCCTTATGATTATTAAATTTGTTTTATAAAGCAGTTTTAATGAATACTTTTTCATTCTATGTGTAATTAATCACTCAATATTCATGCATTGTTGATAAGGGGATAAAATATTCAACTTCATGGGATAGAAAGTACCCAGTAAGACAGAGTTTTCTAGTTCATTGAATGGTTTAGTGATGTTTCTGTTAGAGAATACTTCGTGATTTCACGTTAGACGTCATCACCAGTGCTTAACACACAAGGGAAATAAATTCATTATGCATGAATACCTTGCTTTAAGTATCCATGCATAGCGAGTTCACTTCACATTCTTTTGAAGCACCGATGTTTGATATAAAATTGAATAAAAACTATCGAGCTTTGATATGTATTCACTCCTATTTTTAGTATCCTTAATTATTTTCATGGTTATTTCTTCCCTTTATATATATTGTTAAATGATTCACCAATATGATAACTGACTGACTGATAAGACCAACGTAGAATCGACTCAAGTTACCACACTTGGTAGAAGTACATAAAGAAGAGGTGGATAGGAAAAGAGTGATATCATAGTAGATAAAGTAATATGAGGGAATGAATAACCTGAATATTACCGTTAGTGTGAATATTTAAACTTCAGAAGATATGAATACATCTGCCCCATTATGATGTATTTTCAGCCATGTCACCAGGAGTCCTCAACAACTGATTGATTTCGCCTTGAGGACCCCGACCAGGTAGTCTACACCTCTGTACACGGCTCAAGGCAATAGTCAGGAACTTCATCGACTGGTGCTATCTCGATCGGGCCACTCTGAATCCTCTTCCATCCTAATCCAACCTCCCCTTGCATGGCAAATCAAAGTAGGCGGTGGCTTGGCATGTGCAGTACATTTTGAAGGCATCTCAGTTGACTAAGTTTCACAACCTCGTCACTAATATCACATAAGATGTTGGTGTATCACATTTTAAGTTCACTTCCAAGAACACCGAAAATGATTGTTTCGACAAATCTTTGTTTGAGTTATGGAGAAACCACCGAGGAATTCATTAGTAAATACAGTTATCTATCCCCGTTTACTTCAATTTGGCCAACCCGATTTGGTATCATACTTTCGAACACAAAAAGCTCAAATCTCATAGCCTAGCACATAAAAACACATGTACTAGATCAAGTTGCATTACTATTTATTTTATAATATGGTCCACTTAGTAATCATGAAGTGGTGTACCATACTATCAACCTGTATGACGCTAAATGATAAGTTGTTCCATATTCACAAAGGTTGGGAATACCGCTCAATACTGAGTTGTTCACCAAATAACCTGAAGATTGTACACATCTATCAAATTTCTATTGAATTAATAAAGGACAGGTTTATTCTTCAGTGGATTCACTGAAGTTTCAGTATTATTAGTACTTGTAATGCATTCAAGTGGCAATACGATTGTTCTGTAATGTATGATAGTTAATATTTTAGATTTGTTTAAACTTATTACTTTGTATTGTAACCTTCTCAAGGTTATTTGGATGTAAGTACATTGTCGCCCCCCTCTCTCTACGTACATATACACATAATTTGTCCTTCGTATAAACATTTGCACAATATTTCTTCCATCTAACTTCCTTACATATATAGCTATTGTATTTCAAATGTATAGATTTACACACTCATACATTTACTATATTAAATCACAATTTTCACGTATATTTTCGATTTTGTTGACTAAAGTAATTTCAGTTGTTTATTTTTTCTATGTTTTCTAAAAGATCGGGTATTTCTGTGATAAACACCAAATATGTTTCAATTTTACGATTAATTTACGATATATTTTATAATTGGTTATGTTACGGTTATAAAGTATATAATTTGTGTGATACTTTTTTTGTACTTTGTCACGATTGATTTATTAGGTAATGAAGAATAAATAGGCATTATAATGGTGTTTATATCGGAAACAATTCTTAATTCTCTGGTTTATCAGTTGAATTAAACGATTTAATTGTTTGCTAAATTCAACTCTCATTTCGTTCAATAATGAAGGGTTGAAATCAAGGAAATATAAATCGAATATAGATGCTATCCTTATTTAGTTAAATCGTCATATTTATTCCATAATCTAGCTTTTTAGTGTAAAAAGAAAGAATAATAATCTTCAAGAGTCATGCTCAAATAAAAATAAAAACGCATAGTAAGGCTTTTTCGTTACACTTTATCTCAGATACATAATACGAATGTAGCGGCGAACAATACCACTAAATCAATACCTTTAGCTTTAATGATATATAACATTCATCAATTTAACAGAATTGTTCAACTGATGGTACACGGTAGAACATCCGCACCATGCAACACATTGTCATGTTACATTGGATTGCTTTTTCACTATCCTCTAACCAATTAGTCCACGTATCTTGGTGGCTTGACATGACAAATATAGCATTTGTATCTGGCTGTTAAATTCTGCCTTTTCTTAGTGCGTATTCGAAAAATATAACTGACGAGAAGTTGGTATCTGGATCTATGCAGGTCTCGTGAGATAACTTCTGAAACATGCATGTTCGCTTCTTCATCCTCTATTCTGGTCCCGAACTTGGTTGAAACAAGAAAAAAAATAATGAATACTACTGCAAGGATGCCCCCAGTTATAGGGACAACTATTATAACGTTGCTCTAACAGCTGGGCCTTACAGATACTTTAATTTGGAACAATTTATGCCTTTTTTGAGATAAATCCTTTTTTTTTGTCTAACTTCCTACGTTTATTTGCTTTTCATTTATAGGAGATGGCTTCGAATCTTGCTATCTAGCATTTGAAGTCGGTGAACAGTTTTACATTTTGGCAAATGATCCCACTGAGGATACTACTGACTGGCTTCATGTCTGCCGTATGCGAACCCTAGAAATAGGTTATGTTCCAACAGCTTATGTTCAACAAAATCTTTATTCTCAACCAATGATCTTATCGAATTGTAAAAGTGTACAAATTCATGATTCAGATTCATCATCGACAACTAAAACAAGTAATGTTACATCTAAAAGACCATCAACGATATCGCCTACACCATCAACAATGAAAAGTGGAGTGGGAAAGAGTTCAGAGAACAGTATTACCAGTAACAAAAGTATCAATCCTAATATGATGAATAGAAATTTTAGAGGTACTTCTCCGTATGTTCGTTTAAGTGGAGTTTCACGAGATACTGATTTATAATACAATGAATGAATAGAGACAGGACTTTTTTTCTTTCTCCTTAAAATTCTTATCTTATCATCTTCAGTTTTCTATACATATCTATTATGTACGTAAGAATTATTCTTCTTTGTACGGTTTTTCTAGGTATACAAATTTTTTTTTGAATAACGCTATTATATCATCCTTCTTTCTATTTGTATATATTCGATCAACAATCAATGCATGAATGATTTATATTTGCACAAATACCTAGGTGATAATAAAAGACATTCGATGCTCTTTTTTCCTATTCACCCCTTTTTTGTTGCATAAATATTGACTTCAAAATAAATTCTAGGAAGTTTTCTTTTCATTTACTTTCAGATTATGTTTTCGTTTTCAAATAAATACTCAGTAATATAAGGATAGAAAAGGACAAACAATCTTTTTCGATTCAATCAATCCTTCACTTTATTGTTTTTAAAATTTGTAGATGATATTGAAACATTGCTACTAAATAACTTAATGCTTTTTATAATGTGAACTTATAGACTTTTATAAAATATACATATAAATACTTTTAGTTCCAATTTCTATTTGTTTCATGTCTGTACTGTATTGGTTTTCTTCTCTGACTATTTGAGATAGCCGTGGTTTGACAGATTATTATTTATACGATACTAAGTGATCATTGAAGGTGAAATGAAAATTTTAACCATGACTAGATTCGAACCGGCAAACACTGGGTTACTGGCCCGGTGCTCTACCAACTCAGTTACGTTATCCGACTGCTCATCAGGTTTTTATTTCACTTCAATCATCACCCAGTATCAATACTAGTCTACCAAACCACGGCTATCTCATTCAGATAGTTAAAATGATAATCAACACGATGCTCCCCCTCTCTAATTCAATTAATTTTCGATTGGGATGAGAAGTCCTGACTGGGCAGCCAGTGTGAGTACGATCAAGCGGTAGTAACGCGTCATGAATTCACATGGTAGTTGGGCAAAACTCTTCGTGACTGAAGTGAAATAAAAATATAGTGAATAGTCGGGCCTTGTAGCTCAGTTGATAGAGCACCGGACCGGTAACTCAATGGTTGCGGTTGAAATTTTCATTTTACCTTCAATCATTACTCAGTATCACATAAGGGATTGCTTACTGAAGTGACTGGCCGAATAATACAAGAACGCTATTAACGCAAAGAGACACTAGGACTCCATACAAACAGCGACTTTTCTCCCAGACCTGATCATTCAATGAGGCACGAGAATCAAAAGACCAGCCTGTGACTGTAAAGAGGACAACTTTATTTGACCAAGAAAATATCACATTTATATACATATGTATTTTGTAGTTGTTTCCGTTCTATTCTTTTCATTTATCGCCTTCGATAATTTGCTTCCGTGTGAAAGAAGTTTAGACATTTTTAAAATATAATTTTGCTGACCGTCAGGACAATACCAGTACCTTTCTCAAGATGATTTATTATGCTTTCGCCATGATGCCTCAATTCTTTTAGTTGGTTAGTCAGAAAACTAAACTGTTTCAATTGAGCGTTCAAGAACAACCAAGTGATGTGAATCTAAAGTGTTCCAGCTTTTCTATGGATGAAGCAGTTAGACCATCCGTTAGATAAACAAGAATCTCAAACTGGATGTAAGTGTGGAGTTTGGTTTTGATTTATAGAAGTAATTTGGACCGAGTTGAACTGATTTACACAGGAGTAATTGAGGATATATTTCTTGGGTGATGCTAGGAAAGTATCTGTGTTATTGGCTGGTTTGAGACTCGTCGTAAGCACTTTTACACATACAGTCGATAACTGAATCACATAATTCTTGTCGCTCGTCTTCTAAGAGATCATACAAGCTTCTTATTAAGTGAAAATAAACAGAATACTTGACCGGTAATCACTAAAAGTGGTGTGTGGTCTAGAAGGTAATCAAGTGCTTATTTGTGATTTGTACTTCGCCAAAAATCTAGTTAAACACCAAGATGAAATATGTGATTGCCTCATCAAACACAAAAGAAAGGCAGTAAAAACCAAAAGGAATACTTACTTAAGAAGCAATTTTGTAAGTATTCCTTAAAAGATACATTTGAAGTAAACAAATGCCTTGAGCATGTCAACATAAAGAGTAAATTTATGTGTTCATTTGATGTTAACTCATTATTTACCAATGTCCCTTTGGTCAAGACAATTGACATTTTATATGGTTATATTTCTGTGCATAAGTTTCCGATACCCATTACTTTGGATCACCTAAAACAGCTGTTACTTTTATGTACAAACAATATTAAATTCACCTTTGAGGGCGAACATTTCCGCCAGGTTGATGGTGTCGCTATGGGAAGTCCTTTAGGTCCCCTCCTAGCCGACATATTTATGTCATACGTTGAGAACTAATTAGACCAAGCCCATCTGTATCGAAGATATGTTGACGATATCCTGATTATTTGTGAAAACTCAAATCAGGCTACTTCAATTCTAAACCGACTGAACGAAGTACAGAACAGCATATCTTTGACATGTGTAAGAGAGGAAGATGACTGCTTGCCGTTCCTAGATATATTAATTAGTCGAAGGCAGGATGGATCCATAAAACGATCTATCTACAGAAAACCTACATGGACAGGGCAATATCTGAATTACCATAGCTTTTGCCCAGTTCAGTACAAGCGAACGTTAGTAAGGTGCTTATTCAGCAGAATTCAACGAATATGCACCGAGGATACTTTAGAAGATGAAAGAGGAACACTGACCGATATTTTGTTGGAAAATAACTATCCATCAACATTTATCAGGCAGAACAAAACTAGCAGAGCGTCAAAACTAGAACTGCAGTCAGTCCCAAAGAAGGATGTCTTCATCAGCCTTCCGTACAAAGGTGACTCTCAGAGTGCAATCCTTAAGCAGAGACTTAACGCTGCTGTTAGAAGGACTTATTATGCAGCCAGGGTTCGAGTAATCGAAACCACGAAGCCCTTATATTCCCCCAAACCCCTACAGCATGTGAACGATAATGTCACATCCCATTGTATCTACCAATTCAAATGTACGTGTGGTGACACATACATAGGGAGGACTAATAGATCCATGCAAGTAAGGGCCTCGGAACATATTCCAAAGTGGCTTCAGAAGCAAATTAAATCACCTGAACCTATAAATGTTGGTAGCAGACGTCCAAGTTCTTCGATCGCTAAACATATCGTTGAGACAGGTCACAAGATTGATGTGGCTACTTCCTTTACACCTATTTACAAAACATGTTGGGGAGGGATCCTGAAATTTGTTGAAGCCTTAGCTATTAGGAAGTTGAAACCACCTTTATGTGTTCATAAACAATTTGTTGTCACATTAAACCTTCCTTGGTAAATTCAACTATTGAAAAACCAAGTTCGATGTACTATTATTTTTTCGCTCTATTGATTTTCATTGTTATTCGGCCTTTAAGTCAGCCTTCCTACCTGACCCCTTTTTATTTTCTCACCCCTTATCTTCATGAGTTTTTATATAAATACCTATGACAAGTACGTGTGTGATCAGATAGTTCGAAATGTGTTGCGCAAATACATTACACGGTTCAGACAATTTACTTTCATTATTACAGATGTTAATAACTTTGCTGCAATGCAATACTTTTTTCGAGGAATATATAACTCAGCTAAAGCCAGTTTGAATTAAATGCTTATCACATAAGGATACTCCATTCAACTGTGTATTTCAGAGATTGGATGAAGATGACTTATTGAATGTTAACTATTGACTTTCATAGTCCTTATCTTCCCAAATATAGAACTGGGTTGTTCAATTCAAATTTTCTTGTTGTTGTTTTGATAATCGTAATTCGCCTTTGCTATACAGGGCCGAATTGCTCAACCTTTTTTGACAGATTGGCCCCTATACGGGTGCTTCGATATTGTCATATACTCGTGATGTTGTATTCATCTTGGTGACTAGCAATGGAGTCTAGAATGCACGTTTCGTCCTACTTGGGACTCGTCAGCTAGGTGTACCTCCACCCCATTGAGTGATATTGTCCCTAATGAGGCTTGAACATAGTGCCCATCGCTTCGAATTGTAGTTTGATATGTGGTGTGTCAAACATGCAACAAATGAAAGTAGTTGAAATTAATCTAAACACAGAAATGATGAGATAAGCAATCAAATCGAGTGGTAGTAATATATAACCTCGGATTTAAGATTGCCGATAATATACTGAAGATAACTACCTTGTGTGTCTACAAAGATAACATTGTCGTCAAGGTGATAGAATATTGCACTAGAAATCAACATTATTCCGTACAGCTAAGTTATGAAAAGGTGTTCAATCTACTCATTATATCTTATGTATATATGCTCATTTTAAGGAGTCCTTATCATTTCAGATATTGCTTGATCTACGCCTAGTATTCTATTCATCAGTCCAATTAGAGGAAACTATCTTCAGACAAATCATCCAGTGTATATTGCAGTCATTAAGTTCAAGAAGTAGAAATGTCCAACATAGATAAAATATGTATTCACAGTGAGCAATCATCTCTTAACAGAAGAGCAGGAGAGAATAACAATAGAAAAGTATGCAAGATATCAAACAGATTAAGTAAGACATATGAAATTAAACAAGGCAGTTAAATAAATGATAATACATGCAGATGACATTAACGAATCACTTTAGTTAAAATGTACTGATTATCTTCACTGGTTTTACCGTTAGCTTCCCTGATTTTTGCATAAAATTTAATTACACTGGGATCAGCTCGAATAACCTCTGGACGCCAATCGAGCAAATGTAAACCATTTAAGTTACGGCACCGACTCAGTGCCACATACGCTTGACCACATTCGAAAACCTGTTAAGAAGTATATAACAATATCTATATATTAAATCATTCAAAAAGACGGAACATATACATGCATATATACAGTACGGTATCCACAACAAGAATTTCAGCAGTATAGGTACCAAAGCGTTGAATAAGCGTTGACTAACTGTCTGTCTTTCTGAAACAGTATAAAATCACGTACAATGGTGCATCTGTTATTGCTGCTACACATCTCTCAACAATACAGAGAAGAACAAAAAACGGAGTCAGTTCTCAACGGAACTTTACCAATCAAGTTTGCGATAGGACTACATATCATCTTCATCGCAATCGCTATTTCATCATCGTTTTAACCCGCCCCCACCACTCTTGTTTCTCCCTTGTTAAGACTTTCTACCAATTCTGATTGAGTTTTTCTCCTCCTATTTCTTTATCTTTCATCTCGCTACTTTGCGTCTTGACGTGATAGTAAACAAGGTATGTTGAAGTGAATCATGTTATGCAATAATGTAAGGTGGTACGTTGAATATAACTGTGAAGTGATGCAAAACTATGTCAGCTACTAAATACTGACTAAGCACCAAACAGGCGTAAGACCTACTGATAGAGCTTGGCTCCCAGCAGATTGACTTCTGACATCAAATAACACATTAAAACAAAATAACAAGCATAGAGTGACCAGACGGGGAAAGAGGGATTATGTATGATGTAATATCCGATATTAGGAATAAGCAAAACAGATGGGAATACTGGAAAAGTGTCAATATTCACAACACAGCCAAATAAAGAGGTAAATTGGATGAACAATAACACTTGTAGAGATTTTCAATAAGAAAAAGTATGAGGTAAAGGAAACAAGTTCAGAAAAGAGATATTATTACTTTTGATACATTTTTTAAACTTGAGCGTATCTTATAATCATCTTGATGGCTTAGAGTGGAAACTAGGACGCACGTTTCGTCTTATTTAGGACTCGTCAGCTGGATGTACCTACATCCCAGTGAGTGATGTTCCAACTGACACTCGAAACCAGTACCCATCGCTTCAAACGATAAACCGTTAACCACCGGGGATATTAACAGCCATCTTCTGTATCTCTTCATCTGAGATGGTATCTGAATGACGAAATCTAGCTTTTCTAATCAACAATTCTGACTGCCTTACAGACAGTTTATAGTTCTTCACACGGTAGGGTCAACATTAAAGGATTTAAGTCATAGTGTTAAATAGCTGGAATATACCATCTTTCAGTTACACCATTACGAGTTTACAGTAACCCCTTGATACACGAAAACTGATATTTTGTTCACATTCATTATGTATTTGCAAAAGTTATATGATTTACAATTATGGTCAGTTGTGGAGCCAGGTTCAAAAGAATGCGGAGAACAGAGTGAAATGGAGACGTGCCCTATGTTCCACTAGTAACCAAATAGTAATAATGTGAGTTACACTGACCTAGTACTAATGTGCTACTTTGACGTTACGAAATGCAATAATCTTTTCACAAAAAAGAAATCTGTCGAATAATTACACTTGTTTCATATGCTAGAAAATTAGTTTACACTAAATAACAAATTGTTAAAATCATCTCGATTTTCCGAAAAAAGCTATAAAATGTGTTTTATTTAATCTGTTACTGTTTTTTGAGTTCAGTTTCTCAGTATAGTAGCCAATAAACTTGTTAATGAACTCCCATCTCTAATTGTCAGTTCTAGATGGCTACGTTAGATATCAAACTGGTATCATCACTGACTATTGTAGTGGAGTAACTCTGATGATAAAAGTACATAATACTTTTCAGCTTCAAAACATGAAGATTAAGTATATTTATTTATTCCTATACTATAGTATTCTTCAAACTAGACGGAATCACCTATTCAAAGATAAGGATATCAGATATGAAATGCTAAATAATAAACAACAGATTCAAGCATCAGTCAAATTTCATTGACTGTAGTCATACTTTAAACAGATTATCCTACTAACTACTACAAGTAACAGCATTGGCTAAGCCGTTGAAGATTGAGGTTATGAGAAATAAGTACAGTTTCTCCTCAGTTACCTTGGAAAGAGCTAATTCTGCATTTTCTAATGTGATGCCTTGACTTTTATGAATAGATATCGCCCAAGCCAGTGTTAATGGTAATTGACGTCGACTTGCAACTTCTTCTGCATTAATACCACGGATTGTCCAATTTTCAATTTGTACAATATACGAAAAACCATTAGATCCATTTGACCTTGAGGGTAGAATCGAACAACCGGTAGACCACTATCACTGCTTATTTTTTCAACTACACCTCGAGCTCCATTGACAAGTCCACGACTAGTATCCAAGTTTCTTATCAGCATAACCTGAGTTTCAAATACAATAAATCTGTCAACAAGGCACATCATTTAGAGGAGAAATAAAAATATGACCACACAATTAATATGCATCACATTAGGGTTATGATAAAGTGATATACACTGGTAGATTAAGTATGCACAACAACGATTATAGCACAACTGGTGGGAATTCACATGCTTAATATTTGACCCTAACACAAGGAAGTTGGGAATAAAAACTTTGGGTACATCCAAAAAAGTGCACCGCGATGATGATGGTAAAATGATAGACAGAATTCGGTCAGCAGTCAGAACTAGACAACATGAAGTTGGTTGCACTTCGATGATCGATCAAAATACTTCGGGTATTGTTAAAAAAAAAAGGAGGAAACGCATAGGATTCAGGGGCAGACTAGAGAAATAAGCCAGCTTTTAGAGACTCTAGGTGATATGGCTTAGAATCGATCTCAGTAGAGTAGATGTATCCACATACTATCCCACTTTTAGTGGTAAAACTAAATTTCAGTATTCTTTCCTTTCTTTTGATGACTGTCTACCACAGCTGTTTTTTATTCTTTTATCTTAGTACATTCTCGCTTAATGTGTTGATATGAGATGCGGCAACTTGAACCAGACACAGTTCTATGAAACTGGTTTAGATTGCTGATCTTCCCAATTTATAGGCAGAGATATTTTCTTGTGATAACGAAATTGTGTTCAAGATCCTAGGATCTACAATCACCTAACTGGATATTCAGAACAACAAACTCGAGACAATCAAACAGGTTATATGTCTAAACAAGGGTGTATCGATAAGTTTGTGAAAATAGGCATACTTACAGGTACCCGAGGTGTGCTATATTTCTTGACCTGAAGGCGGTAATCAACTCTGTTGATTGAGAGGTTTTCTGGCAGTGTCTGACTGTGAAGAGAGTATCGATTAAGTATATTATGGTAATCGCAGCTTTCTACTATAACTTTTACTGGCTTGCGGAGAGTTACCATCTGAAGTAACTGTAAAAAGTAGTGTCCGACAAGGAGACCCACTATTACCATTCTTCCTTAACTTCGTCATAGATGTGCTGATTGGTATAAACTTAAGTACCTACGATTTTTCAGTAACTGACTTGCTCCAAGGTTGATGCCTAGTTAACTCAGAGTACAAAGGTGGAATTGTTCAGGTAGGCAAAAACTTTGACGAAATGAGCGAACATTTTATTATGTTTGACATGTGTTACGCAACTGTCAAGTGTAAGATGATGCTTCATGACTGATTCACACAGAATTCTAGTTTACGAACAGAGAGTAGAGTATTAGAATGTATTGGACATCAGGTTTATTTAGGAAGTCAAAGCTCTCCTACGCGTTGGTTGCTTACAATATCTCAGCTTAAATACAAAATCCACATCTGCCATTTGAAAACTTACGACACCCCCGAAACACCTGACTACATATTAAAGGAACACTGCAGTTCATTCTGTCTTATTATAAGGCTATGAAACACAGAAGAGTTCACATGTTTCTAACCACAAGTGTCCTCGCATCATTGTTTATATATGGCAGAATCCCTGTGTGAGTAACGTCGAGGTTAGACGGACACCAATTAAGGAAACCAAGCCAATCAATGAGGTTGTAAACCTTCACCAAATGAGATGGCCTTGACATGCGTTGTACATACGGAGACACCACCTACCTCAACGTATAGTGTTAGGCAAAATAGGATTGGATTGGAAGGCTTGGAGTGGTCAAACCAAGACATGGCATTAGTTGATACAACCATTGACCATTGGTCTGAGCCATGCAGGAAGGTATAAACTGCCTGGTTGCAGTCCTTGAAACAATAGTAATCAATGGTCGGAGATCCACGATGACAGCTGATAAGTGGTCGCAATCGCTCAGATATATTGGCTTTCAGTTATATGTGAAGTTTTAAACATTTTCTCTTCGTTCACACACTTATATGCTCTGATGTTAGCCTTTTTTCATTCACCTGCTTTTTGCATTCCGCTGTAAAGTGTAACAACTTCAACCGATATATTTCCGTGCGAGGTTCTGTCCTAATCTGTCTGTTTGTTTGCATTATAAACTTTAATTACTCCAGGTCGCTTTTAAACTTTTTTTCAGTAGGTAAGGAGATATTTAATCATTCGTTGAAGGCGAGAGCGCCAACTATAAGGACAGTTCAATAGGTCATTACTATTTAGCGTTTTACGTTCCTTTTTCGTAATTCAGTATTTGGATTCACCGGTAGGTTATCTCAAACTCCGAACTTCAAAATCTGCAGCTCTGTAACTTCAAGACACGGATTTTTATGAAAATTTATGTTGTTACATCTGACGTGTAAAAAAGTACGTCAGTAATTACCGCATATCATCAATATTTGAATTTCGGTTATACAGCATCAAATAAAATTTCCAACAGGTTGAAAAAAGCTTAAAAATATCCAATATTGAACTGGCAGAAGTTGAAAATATAGACCATTGCATTCTGACCCAGTAGCTCAATGATAACGTACTGGCCACGCGACTCAAAGGTCTTGGGTTCGATCCCTCGAGGGGCGGGGTCATGGGTGTGCACTATTGAGGAGTTCCATAGTAGGACAAAACAGCTGTCCAGTGCTCCCAGGTTTCCAATATCCCTTCAACTGATGTCAGTTCATAGTTAAAAATCACTTAACCCCTAGAAACCCCCAAATTAAACTTCCCAAGTAAACAAATGTTAAATAGTGAACTGGACATTTAAGTCCTCTAATATGTTTTGTGTGCATATAACATAGCTCTAAATGGAGCTAAATATGTTGTTAACAACAGATGGTTTTGTGTACTATGACTGCAAGATAACACGTTTTGAAATAAATACATATGACCAAATAAGTTTTTCTTACTTGAGCGCCAACCTTTAAGTTCAGTACGGAAGGAGCTGGGCAGGCTGTATCAATAGAAATGGAATTGCTCTTACCAATACCTTTGTCCTGAGCTCGATAAATCTTGCACACACCTATTAAGATAAGCAAATCAAGATATAGATCTAAACAAATGAATAGAAAGACACACGAACTTGTCACCTGTGGATGACCAAGGTAGATGTCCAGTCCTTAGTGTCTAGCACTGATTGCAATCTATCGATCAAGTTTTGCGATTTGGCCACCACTAAACTTAGTGACATGACACTACGCTTCACTGTGCTACGATGTAAATGGTGGGAGACAATTAACAAGACACCTGTGAGTTACGTCTCAACCTTGTTCATAGTCAGCAAAGCCTATGTATAAAAGTTTAGCGGCAGACAACTACGTTGGTTACCCATTGGTAATCAATTTGTGGGTATAGTCCAGTCCTACAGAGGGTTAGTCGTGGCCTGCGTAGCTTAACGACTAGGTCTGACTTCAGTACTGAGAGTGGAGTAATTTCAAGTCACCTGGAGAACACCAGCCTCCTTATAGCTGCAGATACACCTTGTTGATGAGTACCAACAAGTATAAAACCTGGGTCTAGCATTTCCTGACGACTGGCTTCCATCATCTAACACCACAGAACAAAAGCAACAAATGTAAGTAGGAAAATAGATGATAGTTGGATTGAGCCATTATATAACTTAAGCCACTGGTGTATGAAATACACTAAGACGCTTAATCAGATACCTACAAACTAATCTATCAGATACACTGAACACACAGTATCAACATAAGATCTGTCTCTGTTGCGTATCTGTTCAGGTTACCACACCTCGTATCGGTGTATCAAGCAAGAATGCACTAAGATGAAATATATAGAAGAAAGCAGTTGGAAATGGTAGAAAGCCATCAAAAGAGAGTATGGAGGAATGACAGAATACTGAAATCCAAGTGAAACCGATTCTAATATATATATATCACCTACAGCTTAATTAAACATTAACTGGAACATCACTCACTTCAACTAGATTAAGAGAAACTGATATCAGTTGAAAACCAGCCCGAGAACCGAACATTCATTTGACCCTAGTTTAAGACCTGACATCGTTTCATTGGATTCCGAACATCAGTAGTCCAATGATAGCATCATAATAACAAGATCTTACGGTGTTGTTTTCAATGTTACATATGATCGAAGCGGGCAACACTGCTAAAGGAGATCATGTTAGAAAGGAAGATATAAGTAAGTTCAGTGCATTTTATTACCTAGGGAAGTAAAACCATCTTTCTCAAAGTCAGACAATCTAGAACGAAAGTGGAAAGTCTATTGAAGTAGTCTCAAAGGACCTTTTGGAATCAAACAGTAGTCAGAAGAAATAACTAGAAAGTGAACCAATAAACAAACAAGAGAAAAACAATATGCACATAATCGTCATCATATCTGTATAACGGTTTGTTTGCCATTTGAAATTTCGCTCATTTTATTTTCTCTTTCATCTTTATAATTTCTTGACATTCACTAAGCAGTGTAAGCAGCTATCGTCTACTTCAATTATAAAATGAACATGCATTTCAAACATTCGTGAAATCACCTATTCCAACATTTTTATCTTCTCCTTATCCCTTCTTCCAGAGTTAAGTTGTCAGTTGACAGGACTATCATAACGAAAATGCCTATAAACTTGAGATAAACATATAATAAAAATGTAATTTGGGGGTCTGTTGGGATTTAATGATTTTCCAAGTTGGATTGACATCAGCTGGAAAAAAACTGGAAACCCGGGAGCACTGGACAGCCGTTTCGTCCTCGTATGAGACTCCTCAGCAGTGCGCACCCATTACCCCATCAGGGACCGAACCCAGGACCCGCAGGTCCCGTGATCAGTACCTTACCATTGAGCAACTGGGTCCGAATCCAATGGTTAATATTTCCAACATCTGCCAGTTCACGACATAAAGTGGCCATCACTCAATGTCATCGCTGAGTATTTGTCCCCGTACCCACCAGGTTTGCCACACCGGTCACAACTTCTCATTGGAATCACCTCTCGAAGCTAGATACCGATGAGCACTAAAAGCTCAATGATAATACTACGAATCAATTGTTTGCTCTTCTTATTGAATTAAAGTCGATTTAGCCTATCATTCACGTCTGGCAAGCGAAACAAATATTTCCAGGCTAAAAATTTGGAATTAGCAATGATTTTGGTTCACATTAGTCCTCAATCTTCATTTATACAAAATCACTGCTGAGGAATCCCATGCTAGGACGAAACAGCTGTCCAGTGCCCCCAAGTTTCCATTGTTCCCCCCAACTGATGTCAGTCTACGATGAATAAGAACCTGAAATAAAACTATTCCATTTAGTTCGATGAACTAATAAATTACGGTAGTCAACGAAGATGACCAAATACAAATTCTCCGGTAACCCCTGTGTAACCAACAGTTCATATTCATGGCAAACACAACAAATCCACATAACATATATAACGAATGAATAACCTTGACTTCTTTTATAAGAATTTTTTTATATACCAACGGATGCCTTTGAAATTCACAGTCAAAACAAAACTGACATTTGTTCAATTTTTGTCATGTTGCAACGGTTGAAACAATGTTGAGCTCTAGCTCAGTAATGTAGTAGGTGTTCGTGTAAAAAGCTATGACATACATTTACTATGTGAATGGTTACGACACTACTCAGTTATTTAGGTCAAAGTGTGCGGTGCAGCACTTCAACCCAATACCCAAGACTTGAAAGATGACAGTTTATGGTAATCAGCCAATCACTCTAAAGCATAACACACTGCTCTTTTTTAACGGATTATCCAGATGGACTAGTCCTTTTCAAACCATCACCGTACCACTTAGATATGTAAAAAATAATGAATAAACATTAAAACAGTACTGTGTTTTTAGATGGAGATTTCAACTTTGAGGCAGTATTCATCATGGACTGACATCGTTTGGGGAACCATTGAAAACCTGAGAATACTGGATAGTTATTTCGTCTTAGTGTGGGACTCCTCAGCAGTACGCACCCGCGACCCAGTTATATATATATATATATATATATATATATATATATATATATATATATATATATATAAACCGTTTATTTATAGTCGTTAGGTATACACTTAGCGCGCATCAAATAGTAAAATTACAGCCCCACTGTGTATAAACTACAACACAATAGTAGCAGCATACAAAACTGTGTAATTATGCTACAAAAAAACTTTCTCACCCACCTGGCAACTCATCCAGCATACGCTTATTCCAGGCATCAGCATCAGCTCGATGAGTACATAAGCGAGTTGCTGCAAGTTTATCCTGACTATGGTAGTCGTCTAGTTCAGATATTAAACGAGATCGTAATATCTTTACAGCCCATTCTGGACACTGACCTTCACGAATTACTGAGAGTAAACGTGCCAATTGAGGATCATCAGATTGTCGCCAAGAATGAGTAAGCTCAATAACACGAAAACGACATTTACTCCAAGCAGATGATTGAAAGGCGAATTTATTGTCAGACTTTATTTACAATGTAATGACAAAAACAAATCGACAAATAAATACATAAGACAATATATAACATATATTCGACAAAACTAAATTGAGATAACATGTGAAACATCGTTTGATTAGTCTCTTATTTGAAAAAAAACTAAATATTTCCATTGCACCGTAACAAAAGAAAAACTTCGTTTCGATAATATCATTCTTCGAACCTGTATAATCACATTTAAGGATAATTAGAGTACACATTTAATGGTAATAAAGTGTAAATATTTGTCAATCAATAACTCCTAAGATTCAGGAATGGAGGTTACGTGTTAGAAACATGAAAATAGTTGACAATGTGAGTTGTAATCAAGAATTAAAAACTCGTAACAAATTGAGTAAACAATTCCCAATGTGAATTGGAATGAGAAATTAGTAACTAAGCTAAAAACGTTAGCGTGATGACACTATGCAAACTAATGCGAGTTAATTAAGCTTGATTACGAAAGAAAAAGTTTAAAAATCATGGATTGCTGTAAAATCCATAAACCTAGTTCATCTATTCTTCCGACTCTAAACATTTCTGGATTCCCTTACAAGCCATCAATTGTAAAATGGTTAGCTGTAATCCTAGATCCATTAAAACAAACCGCTGTCCACTCTTTACGTGACACTTTTGAATTAGTTGACTGTATAAGATAGACGTTATTATATCTCTTAAACGTATGACAACACTTGGTATCGAGTCACTTTTCACTAATGCTTCCCTTACTGAAACTATCTCTTTTTATGAAGATACATAGATAACAACTTAACTCTTGGGATACTGCCTAGCCCCCTCGCCTTAAGGAAATGCTTGTTAATTAGATGCACATTTAACGATGTGACTTATGGACATGAAATTTCCATTAGACTCACTGCTAACAGACTACTTTATGGCCAGTTAAGAGAACGGACTCATGAGACCAACGATTGACGGTTTCCAACTGTACAAAAGATACGTGGACAACACTTTTTTTTATCTTCGAATATCGATGTGACTTGAATCACATGCTGAAGTTGTTCAACAGTTGCTATTCAGCAATTAGATTCAATGTTAAGGTCAAAAATGGATCGAAAACTCTCTTGATATACAGCTGACAAGAATAGCTGATAGAACGTTAAGAAGAACAATTTACAGAAAACCGATGTCCAATGGTCAGTCTTTGTCCTGTTCGAAGAAAATGAAAGACAAATCGACCATCAATGAAGAGCTATTTGAAAGACCAAAACCATCTGGTTCAGTAATTCCTCGACTCTACGGTCTTCCCAAAGTTCATAAGGAAGATGATCCTCTTCGTCCTACTGTTGATATGAACAATTCTCCATATCATGGGACTGCTAAATGGTTAACTAAAATGCTTCAACCAGTGAAGAACCACATCACTAACTACAGTACTCCTAACTCCTTCGACTTCGTTAACTTCATCGACGTTTGTGGTAAGCGTTTGTTGTCATTGGACGTCATATCGCTCTTCACAAATGTCCCTTTGATGGAAAGAGTCTGATTTTTATGTGATCATATTCAGATGAACAAGCTTGAAATTGGGATTCCTAAACATTATCTGGAGGAATTTCTCCTACGATATACCTTTAATATACAATTTAGATCCAATAATGGACTTCATCGACAAACGGATAGGGTACCAATGGGTCCTCTCTTAGCTGACTGCTTTATGGCTAATCTGGAAAACATTAGACTGCGTCCGTTGATCGACCAGTTCCAACTATATAAGAAATACACGAATGACACTTTCGTCATCTGTGAGGATAGTAACCTAGAAGAGATACTACAAAAGTTCAGTGAATGTTATAAGTCAATTAAATTTACCATTGAAATTGAAAATAACTCAGAATTCCACTTCCTGAACGTTCAATTGAGATGTGGTGGTTCCCTAAGGAGATTGATTCACAGTAAACAAATCTTGAATGGTCACTATACTCATTTTCAAAGCTGGGTTCCACTAGTCAGGAAAAAAATCTAATTTATTCACTAAGTACAAGAATTAGAATTTGTACAGATGATGTAGTAAATGAGGAGTTGGAAATACTTCGAAGAGTGCTTAATCGAAAATGGTTATCCTTCAAGATTCATTGAGAGGAACATTAGGCCTAAGAATCTCGAAGAATAAGCCCCTACAGTTCCAAAAAGACATCGTTTATGAATATTGGATTGAAGTGAGAGACAGTGGCAAAAATACTGAAAAAACGACTGTACAAAGCACTGAATACGGTCTCTTTTTCCGTTTAGCTTCGGATTGTTTTCTCCAATCGACAACTGATTCGAGGGTATGTAGAGGATTAAAACTACCGCTCCGGGTCACCTCAGTGTGTTTACCGATTTACCTGCTCTTGTGCAGCTGGTTACATAGGCCACACAAAGCGTGTTCTTTCCAAACACATCTCCGACCACTAATGTACATAGTTGTCTAAAAGACAGTGTAAAGTGGTCAACAGCTCATTTCCTGAGCATTTGGTTATATCTGGTCATTGCTCCACAAGAGTTTTCTTTCACAGTTATTTACAAAAGGAAAGCAAACATTTAGAAGCAAGTGTGTATTCCCCCACCTCAACACAGTAGAAACTAACAATCCAGCATTACATGTCTGCTCTTTGTGTTCGAAAAAGATACACATTCTCTAATTTTGCCTAGGTCGTAATCTTTATAAGACAGCTAATTCATTTCTGTTTATTTTTGATGACCTTGACCTGACTTTTTAGCCGCTATCACCTTGTGACCTTATTCACTATTTTGATAACGAACAGACCCACTTGCATGGTTGTAACTATCATTACGATGTACAGCTTTTGAAAATGACTTGTCGGAAAGAAAATTTTCTTCGCTGAATTGTCTTTTATTTATTGCTAACAACTTGAAGGAAAAACTTTCGCATTTGACCAGTTCTATGTGATATGAATGCTATGCAAGAAGAAGGAGAAGAAGAAGAAGAGGAGGAGGAAGGAGAGGAGGAGGAGAAAGAAGAAGAAGAAGAAGCACACTTTATTGTCGACAGAAAAAGCATGTGAGAATACAATACACACAAACATTCTCTGAATGTACAAATTAATAAACTATAGAATGATTACTCACGTGTGAAATTGTATTGACCATATTCAAAGTAAACATATATTATGACAAGAGTGTTCAGTTAACAAGTTAGACTTACTTTCTAACTGAAATTATATACATACACCCAATGAAGTAATTTTTACAAAGGTTTATTCTTCTAAATATATGTAATCTGAGAACATATACAGTAGACAACGATAAATGTTTTTCTAAGAGCTCAATAGTTTTATCGAAAAACTTAGTCATTTGTTAGTTAACATATGAACATGTGTAGAACGTCATTTAGTTGCGTTTACTATGATCGATTACGTTTTAGTGATGTCAGAGAAAAGTAGATATGGAAATAGGTGGGGAAGAATTAAGTGTGGATCAAATCAAAAGTCGTTCAAATTGAGAAGAAAAGTTAAACATGAGTTTAGTGATACCTTTTCCACCACTAACACCAGACTGAATCGCTGGATAACAATAATTAGCCGGACAGCTAAATGTGAATACAGTGTGTAGACCAGTACTCGTTAACGTTATACAATAGTATCGTTTCTTGTATTGAAGCTTTCTCCAATATGTAGCGCAAAAAGTAAGTGTAAATTGGGGTATGCATACAATGTATATTCCTACCATATCAACATATATAGCCTAACAATTTTCAAAACAGTTGATATTTTTCTTAAAGTAATCACTGTACCCAAATGTGACAAAATTCACATTTAATCAACGGTGAGCAGGATAAATAGTTAATAAAGAAAAATGTGACACAGGAATCAAGTTAATATCTATATAGTATGTTTGTACGTATGTATCTATATAGTATGTTGTTGTATACAAATTCAGGTAATTATTCATGATAAAATAAGTAAAGCGTGTTCGAACTCACGACAATTTGACTACAATCTAAGTGTTGTGAAGAAAACAATAGTTGCATGACTACACCATTCCTATTGTCAGTAATTTATTTTCGAGGATTATCTGAGCTATACAAGAAACAGTAGTCAGGAACTTTTCGTGATATGGCTGAAAATCATACACAATTGTGCAGACGTACTCACTCTTTGTTGTCTTTTAAAGTTTGAATATATGCGCTAATCTTTATCTTCAAACCCCTTATTCTGTCAAACAACCTTGTTTATTTTGATATCACTCCTTTTCTACGCCTTTATGCTTTGTATACTACTGTCAAGTGTTATAACTTGGACCGATGCATTTGTGTGCGAGGTTCTACTGAGATTTTGTCTTTCTACCACTCAATCTACACATGTTTGAATATTAAGTAACTAAACTTGTTCACTACCTCCAACAAAATCCACATTTCCTATACTCATAATTACGGAGAGTTGACAGATGAAATGAAGTGGAATCGGTTTCAAAACTGTTTTGAATGCTTACAGGAGAGAAAATGAAGAAAACGTTGCAGATGCTGATGAGAATAATACTATTTTAGTCCCAAGAAAGGCACCTTTTTTCTTTCTTGATAGTGTCAACTGTCAATAATATTGAAAAAATGGCTCTAAAAATTAACGATGACTTCTAAAAACCAAACTGTATATTGCATTAATGGATAGAAACCTACCTCAGACGAAGGAACAACAGGTGGAAGCTGAAAAAAGTCTCCAAACACAACCAACTGAACCCACCAAACGCTAACTGCTCAGAATCCTTGTTCATTGAACGTCGACATTCAGTAGCTACAAGCTCTAGACGAGTAAACAGTCTACTACTTAGCATGCTTATCTCATCGATAACAAGATATCGTAATTTCTGCCAACGACCCATTATATCTGGACGAAATTTTAAACGAGTACGCAAAAGTTCAATCCAGGCGGAAATATTGGTATTATCCATCTTCATATCTGATTCAAGCAAACTTCCTAGCCCGGAAAACGCGTGTACTGTCAGTCCACCGATGAGATTGGCAGCTGATCCTGTACTGGCAGTAACTGCAGTATGCTCTGGTGGGAGTAAGCCTAAACAAAGTACAGACATAGTAGGTTAGCTATGATTTCATGTTTTGGACAAGAACAGCTGGAAAACTGGAAAAGAATGAAAACAATATATCTCACCGTGCTATTATGCAGTGAGTTTAGAAATAACAGTGAACTCTCGGGTGCGAAACTAAAGAGCGATGTTCCAGATCATCATCATCATCATCATCATAATCAACATAGGACCAGGCATTACTGCGTAACGGTCCGAGTTGCCACACCTCATATCAGCACATCAAGTAAAAAGGTAGTGAGGTGAAGGATGAAGATAAGTGAATGCAGTCAAAAGAAATATAAAGTACGAGAAGAAAGGAAAGAGGAGTGACAAAATAGTGAGATTCGGTATAGCGTTGTTAAGATGAGGATAATGTGTGTATACATCTGCGCCACTGACTTCGGTTCTGAGCCATATCATCTAGGGTCTCCAACCACTGGTTCCTCTTGTCCCGTGGACCCCAACCACCTAGTCTGCATCGTCCTACATGGCTTAAACCAACAGTCAGAGACTTCATACATTGGTGCCATGTTTTAGTCTGGCCACCTCGGGCCTTTTTCCAGCCTGAACCCACTTCAGCCAACATTGTGTGACGAGGCAATCGGTGACTAGGCATACGTAGTACGTGTCCCAACCATCTCAGTCGATGAAGGTTCACAACCTCGTCAACTGACTTACCTCTTCTCCCCAAAACTCTACACCTAACTTCTGCATTACTCACGTGGTGACACCACGGAATACGTCCTATATTACGAAGGCAACGGTGGTCAAACACCTGAAGCCTTTTTGTATCCTCCACTTTCAATGGCCATGTTTCACAACCATACAGTAGAACAGAGCGGACTGCTGTGCAGTACACGCGACCCTTAATAGACAAACGAATATCACGGCGGCGCCATAGGTGGCGCAAATTGGCAAAAGCCAATCGAGCCTTTTGTATCCGTGCCGAAATCTCATCGGCAACTAACCCACCGGGGTTGATCCTACTTCCCAGGTAAGTGAAGTGGTCAACACACTCAACCACTTCACTCTCTATTGTTAACCGCGGTACCACTGAAGACCAGTCCTGGAGCAAAAATTTGCATTTGGGTGGTGAAAATCGCATCCCAAACATTCTCAAATTCCCACTCAAAGTGTTCAGAAGACTCTGCATCTTGTCAGCGTCTTCACCCAAAAGGACTATGTCATCTGCATATTCTAGATCTAAGGAAAATTCACCTGTGATCGGGTCAACGTCTTTGTAATTAGGTGACGAGAGGGAAACCTCCATAAGAATATCTATGATAAAATTAAATAAGAATGGAGACAGTGGGCATCCTCGACGGACACCAGTTGATGAGTATAGCTCCCTGGACAACTCACCATAGGCTCTAACATGCCCACAAGTGTTCGAGTAGAGAGCTTTCAATAACGTGATGTACTTACTAGGCACGCCTTTCAGTGAGAGACACTGCTATAAGACTTCTCGATCATCGGAGTCAAATGCCGCCTTCAAGTCGAGAAATACAGCTATTGTCGGGCGTCTGTAAGCATGCCTATGTTCCAGGACCTGGCGCAGTGTGAATGATGTTCCAGATACTTGTAACATTCATCATTCATAGTCTTCTGACACTTAAAAATTCCAACATAACTGCAATTTTTTTAAATAACGGTGTCTTAAGTTCGTTCGTCATGTGGCTTACGCAAATTTCACTTTATTTTCCTCACTTGATTATACTACTTTTTATTTAAAAAAGTAGAATGGTGTTTTGCCGCAAATACAAATCTGCTGTTTGGCTTAGGATGAGCTACAGGAAACGTTTTTCACAAATGCATACCGTGCTATCAATACGGATTTCATTAAGGTGTCACATAGTGGAATTTCCAACCAGGTGTAGACGATTTAACATTGTAAAATGAGGAAATTGTTAACATTCATATACACAAGCACACAACACCACTTACCCACAATACGGCGAATAAGGTGAGATTTTCCTGTCCCCGCACCACCAGTACAAAAAACATTATGACCCTGTTTTACAAGGTTGATAACTGATGCCTGTTGATCACGACCTGGTTGACCCGAAGAATCAGATTCCCATAGACCACAGATGTGACCAAATGAACGATCTTTCTTTTCAGGTTGCTTTCTTTCAACTTTTCGCACAGGAGTAGAAATGAAAGGAGTTGAATTTGATGATTTACGTTCTGGTGAACAGGTAGGTGAAGAAGGAGCTATATAGCGGTAGAGATAGATGCATGACAAAATAGTGAATCTACACAGTTCATTTTAAAGCAATATCATAGTGTTTTATGAAGGGCGTTTACAGAACTCACTATGATGAATAATAATTCAATGAAAACAGCTTATTGAAAATGACATTGAAAGGAAAGCACAAATATTTATTGGTTTGAATTCACTCTGAAGGTCTCAGTTTATTATACTCTTTTACAAATGTAAAAATTATGCAGAAAAAGAGCGGTGGCTTATTGTTTTAGAGAGATGACTTTCAATCAATGGTTCATGAGTTCGAGTCCAGCTCCACATACAGAGGTTTGGGTAGACAGGTAGCATCACTACCCATCATACAGTAGGTTTGGCTCACTGCCTAGTGCATGAGTGTGCACAAGGTTGCTGACTGTACTTCGATTTCAAATTCACATAATTTTCAAAAATACGCAGAATATATGGAGGCTTGTGGGGATTTTTTTGATTTCAAGTTGGTATTCATCGCGGAGTAAAATCAGTTGGAGAACCATTGAAAACCTAGGAACATTGGACAGCTGTTTCATCCTAGCATGGGGCTTATCAGCATATATGATAGAAAAAGCTAGAATACTCCTCAATAATTTACAGAATAGAGTTAAGATGAGGAAGCAATTGGGACTAATTATTAAGTTTATTGTTATATTTAGCCGGATTTCTGTCAATGTTTTCAGCACTAACATATTCCCAGCAGCTAGAAACTTCAAACTAACTTGATCCAAATGACCTCCAGCATTCTTCTAAAATGCAAGTGACCTACGCGTAAGCACAAAATATAGTCTAAGTATCATATGAGATGAAATTAAACAAGTTTATGCAACAGTATTAACTTGATGCTTGCTTCTGTATTACATATATCACAAACAAAAAAATAGACAAGAAATAAGCATTAGCCCTAATGAGGAAGGATAATGTACACAGTTGCTTATTCACGATAAAAACCTGCTACTTCAACATAGTGGTTAAACTTACCCACCATGTTAATGTAATCGAACAATGCTGGGTAGAATGTTTGTTATTCGAGATCCTATGACGCCAATAAATTCAGTTGGGTAACAACAATAATGCCAGCAGTTGCTGTCAAACTGTAAACAACCCATACTATGATAGAACTGGGATGGCAAATTTATACTTCGTGTTAGACAGACACCAGTAGGTACCTTCACTCAAGAGATCATCATTCCAAAGTGAGCTAATTTCCTACTTGTGGTAAAAGAGATTCCTCACTGTCCTATGAATGTTTGTTTCAGTTGGTCAGGCGTTTTAAGGAGTGGAACAAAAACTCCAGATCATTATGGAGGAACAGCATCAAATACACGTCCCATGGACTTTTTATCACACAAGACTAAGTCACTCTCTATTTCATGCATTATATAAGCACGTAGTTCTATCCTGATTTTCATTAACCCTGTCTGTCTTTTTCCTCTGCTTTCTCTTCACCACGTTATCCTATATGAAAAGCATAGAGCTCTGACAGTTTAGTGCATTTTATAGTACATAAGAATTCTTGACCAGCGCAGTCAATTTCTGGTCATTTATAACCAAGCTGTTAAATACATGTTGAAGGTTTCAACAATCAATCGTTCTTGGTCGATCCAACAACATGTCTTACTAACTAAAACTATGACATCACAAGCCACGGATGCATATTGTTTCTAAGATAAAAGACTCAAGTGTAGTTATTCGCTTGATTTCACCTAAACAGTTTTGTGAAATGAAACAATACACTCTGAGAGTATCCAAAAAGTCGGTAATTAGCCATAAAAAAGCTCAATGGTGTACAGATTGCATTATGTCCTAGGGTGAAAACAGAAAATCTCGATTGTATCCCAATTGGTAGCCGCCTGTGAACTGTTTTCCTGAATGAATATCAGCAGAAAACCAGGAAGACCGGGCTACATATTTATACCCATTTGTGATCTTTTCTAATCACCCGTTAAATGCAGTTCGAGTGATATGAAGGATGAGTTCTATCAAAAGCAGTGGGTTTTGTCTAGAAACACTGAAAATCATGTTACCAGTGGGTGATCTCAATGATAAAATGGAGAAAATGAACCAATTGAAAACTTGTCTCCTTGGGATCCTATAACGACACATGGATAATGGTGGTCGCTTCTTACGATTTTATTTGGACAATTACTTGTTTTCAACCGGAATTAACCGAGGACAAAGGAAGAGATTTTGCCTGATTAAAACGTCAACCTAATCAACGTAACGATAGATACATACTTTACACCGTTATAAGCCATTGTCACAGGTGATCAGTGGAAGATTCCTTTCTTCTTTTAAAACACTCATGTATGATGCCAATAGGCATTTAAGCGTGTGGATAAAAACAGAAATGATGCAGCTAGGAAGTTCTTCCACACTGAAGATAAAAGCAACACACCAGGCATTTCAATAAGTAACTGGGACTTTGTCAGAATATTGCATAGGTTTTCACTTTGGTGTCACCTGATGTAATATTCAATCTCCCGTGAAAATAATAATATATAGTCAGTAACATGCAGTCCGAAGTTAATTAACACTAGTGGATCACTGCAACCTCTTCCAACCAAATTTGTTTAGAGGTTTTCTGACTATCTGCTTATCTACTAAGCACTAGTTCATAATTGTGTTAACTTGATTACATCCTTGTATACCAGTGAGAAATTATTTGATCATAGGAAAGACATAAAAATGAGTACAGTAAGTTTGCCAGTTTAATATTATTAGAACACAAACTTGGTACAACACGGGCGTCAAGAAATGCATCATACAAAAAAGTAAAGCAACATTATCAAGATATAGAAAGTGGAAAAGGGAATGGAAATGAAAACAAAAGTGAGTTATTAAAGAACCAGTCTCAAATTTACATCTGAAGAAGCATTCGCTATTTTCGTTTTACTTTTCTGTTATGGAAGGGACAAGAAAACTGAAGTACGACCGCTAGTGGTTTCGACTCTGAGTCATGGCAGCTAGTATATTAAGCAGCTGAGTTGCATAATCTCCTGAAAACCATCCAGGAAGTCATGAGACACCTCCAGATGTTAACGTAGCATAAATGTCTCCCATCCCACACCTTCATGTTGTATACTGGTCACCACTTAGTTTCCTACAACTAGTCCCACAGCGGGTGAACACTGGGCGGTTTAAGAACTGCTTGGATGACATGCGTAACAAACGTCCAGGTCATCGAAGCCGGTGTTTCAAGATGACCGTATCGAATGAATGGCAAGTGCCATCATACGCAAACACAAGCCACCCCCCTTTAGAATTCCCAGTGAATGCGAGCAACTTTGCGGAGATAAAGGTGATAGAAAACGCGAATTTCTCGGAAATCATTACCTCTGAAAGGCTATTTTCACAGGTGTAGAGTAGAAGTGCCAGTACTGATGAATTGTACACCTGAACTTTTTCAGTACAGTTATGATCACGACGACACCAAAGCTGATAAATGTTGGCTGGTGGCACTCTGGTTTTCGATATACGGTTGGAAATCTTATCAGTTACACAACTACCCAGGTACAGAAACTACCCAAAAACTTCTAACGACTCACAACGAAGTTTGAATGCAATTACAGGCTTCTGCCAATATTGTGGAAGCATTTGGCACCTCCACAGTGCAAAGCAAATACCATTCTTACGAAAACTGACCGCTATATGATTTTGTGTGATTTGTAGAGCCTGTATTTTATCCCACAGTAAAACGATATAATCCACATACTCCAGGTGGAAAATTTTCATCTGGTAACAGGTCTACATCAGAACTATGCACTTTCTTAGAAGTGTGTCTCTATGATGTCACTGATGGCTAGAAAATAAGGTAAAAAGAGATGGCGAAATCGGGCAGTCTTACCTAACCCCAACTATTAGTTTGGAATAATGGTGATAAGTATATGTTGTATGCCTTCACCCCACCTGGGGTGTTTAAGTACAGGACTTTCAAGATATTAAACAAACTTCTCAGGGACATCCATCTCTAACAGAAAATTCCAATTTTAACCAGTAGTTAGTTGATATCTATTCTCAGTTAGGCTTTAGAGACAAACACAACTTGAAGAGAAAGGAATGAATGGATTTAGAGCCATACGCAAGGAGGTATTTGGTCACCTTAGTTTAATGTTTATACAAGTTAGACGTCATTTTACCATTTTCATCTATCAGACCAGCCTACAATATTGACTAACCTCATGAGAACGAGTTTAACCTTAGAATTTTCCAAACCAATAGTTTTACTTCATAAAAATGTTTCAGCTGCAATAGTAACTTTGGTTGCACTGTTCCTTCCGGGAAGAAAACGACCAGTCGCATACTGCTGTGATGGCAGATAAATTAGCATAACTTGGACCATTTGCTTGTCCTGATTTTTACCAAATAAATAACTCAGATACTCATGTGATTCCGAATTTCCGGACGCCTGACTACCTAAATATCAATGCACCTGATAAGTTTATCCATGCACATGAGTCACCAACCGAACTAAACGCAAACTTTAACTAAGGGTCCTTCTTCTCCTGCCATTGACAATGACAGACAGACAAAATCAACGTGCATCGGTTCAAGCTGCCACACTTCGCTGTAGTATATAAAGAACACTTGGATATGTAAGACTGATATCAAAGAACAGAAACGTGTATGCGAAGAAAGATAATTTCGAAATGAGGGTTAGCCAAAACATTCAAGCTTTCACTTATGTCACCAAGAGTCCTCAACTACTGATTTCTGTCGTCTCCAAGACCCCCGCTAGGTAGTCTGTTCCTCCTTACACGACTCAGAATAACAATCAGCGACTGTTGCCACATCGTTCTAACCTCCCTAACCCCTCTTCCAGCCTTCACAACTTCGTCAACTGGCTCATCTTTCCCTAATACCTTTCGTCTAATTTTGACACTGCTAACCGCCATGTCGCACATCTGCATGACAAGATGGAACGAACTGCAGCTCAGTACGCTCGTCCCTTAATAGGTAGTCGGGTATCTCGCCAGTCGGAGCGACAGGTGAAGCAAGTTGGTAAATACCAAACTGATCATTGTACGATATAAGAAAAGGAGTAATTGCTCACTTCCCTTGCATTCTATGCAATTTGAGTCCAACATATGTACGAATAAATTATGTGTTTATAGCGCACCGTAGGTGATAAAAATGAGATAACTAATTTCATACATAGAAATTTGGATAATGCACAATAATCTCACTCAGCGAACACGAACTGGACGGAAATGAGTAACGAATTGGTGAAAGCTGTTGACCTGAGTTATAAAATTATCATATTATTATTATTTGTCCTTCAGTAGTAAATCCCCACTCTACTCTGTTCTCTGCAGTCTTTTGAACCTGGCTTCATGACTGCCCAGAAGCTTTCATTCCTTCCCACATGATCTCTATGTCACCCTCTAGTAGTACTGTAAAATAAGTCTTACATAAAATGTTTTTGAAAACAAATAAAACAGTGTGACCGAGAGTACTTATCTGAGACTCGTATTTTCCCTTCTTTGGTGCGGTATAACACAAAGAGAAGGATGCCGAATACATTGTAGATTAAGGAATGTTAAACATGTTTTTTCATACCCGTATAATAATTTCAAATTTTTTTTTGGAAACAAACAAGTATACTATTTCGATGAAGATAGTTATCTTTCTCTGTGCTGTGGGAGAAAAAAAGCCCACTTCAGTTAACATGTGCAACAGATGACGATAGTAATACTGATCTGTTAAGATTTCTCATCCCTCCCTATAACAATAATTCTGGAAAACTATTGGAAACAAAAAAAATACACCTTGATAAATGATGGTCAGAAGAAATTGAATAATCAAAACAGGAAGAGAGTAACAAAATTAATATTAGAAATATTCAGTTGTTGCAAATGATAAATGAGTTTCAAACTTGTCACACAGTATAGAACAAAGAAATGCTTTACAATGAATCTCCCTTCATCTACAGTTTCGATTGGCAGCTGTGTCAGATTCAGATGAGTTTCTAAAGAACAGATGATTTTAATACACCTGCCCATAAATAACGACATCGACCTCAAAAAGTCAGGGTCAAGTCAGCAGATGACTAGCCAAAAGTTGTGCAACAAAATGAAATATTTATGGATTGAACTTTGTGAAACTTCAATGTGACTGTACATTCTTACTTACCCTCCTGAAAATTTATTACTGACATGTCACAAGGAAATGGTTCTACCGACTTCAAATTAGAACGAGGAGTTTTCTTAGGAAGAGGCAGTGGACTAATTTCTTCCATGAGTGAAAGAGAAGTTGGTGGAGCATCTGGAACCACTGGTTTCTTTCGAAGTTTTGTATTTTGTGCATTGAATTTAGTACGCAGAGTACCAAGGAAGAAACGGAGTTTATCTGGTGGACAGTTACTGATCATTATTCTCACAGAATGGACTGGTAAGCAAATAGTCGCCTTGCCTTGAGATAAGAAATTTTTGTAAAGGTCTAACTCAATGACTGGATAACCCAGACTTTTCGTGATCATTTTTTTACAACCCGAATTGTCCACAGGAGTTATACGTACAAGAATCTGCTGTAGGTCATCTCTGACAGCAGATATCTCAGATTCACGAAGTGCTATACGACGTCTAACAGTACATTTGTCAGCAGCTAACTCCTCAATCACAACAGAACATCGTACAGACAATGACATATGGCACCTAAAATAAGAAGAAAAGTCTTTTGGCTAAGGACCAACGAGTTAATGAACATACTTTTTCCTACAAGGGCTCTCGACACTTATTGTTTAAAGTGTAGTGAAAAAAAATGAGCAAGTAGTAACCTTTCCTAGAGTCATAAATATGACAAACAGATTTTGTTCACTTCGAGCAACAATACAAGGGAACCGTTGTCAGAATGTTGCTTCTCATTTCTTACGGCTTTACAGTAAGCAAGTTATCAGAAACCAACCACCATTAAAGCCTATCAACTACAGACTAAAGAATCACTGAAACACTTCTTAAGCCGTCTCTCCTCTTGTAGACTTTTTCCTACTATGATAACACTTTTTCTATCCACTTGTTTTTTGTATGCTCCAGTGAATTATTGTGACTTGAACCAATGCACTTCGTGCCAGGCTCTACGTTGTTTTATCTCGCTATAGAAACAAGTTGAATTATCTCATTTCGGTTTCGCTTAACTGACAAGGTGGTTTTATGAAAGGATAGCTAAAATAACACGTAAAACTGTGGTAATTAGTGATGAGACAATTTAGTCAACAAACAGCCTGCTGTAATAACGTATCTATATGTCAAAATGATGAAAATGTGACCGTGACAATTATTTTATTAACGCTGTGATGATTGCTATATGTACTGAGTACTTTTATTTGGTTGTCGATCACCTGAATGGTTAATAAACTTGGTGACCTTGTCCATCTGCCTTAATCACCTATTATGGCGTTTAGTATGAAGCCAGCTTCAAATTTCAGTGATTATTTCACCAACCGCGATGTGCTTGGCGTCCCTAGCCGTGCCGTTATGTATTGGACCTCCAATGATATGATATGATCAATAAATACGCCAACTCATTCCCTGTCCCAAAGATATGTTTTTATGGCATTCTCTTCACAGATTATTCGATTTGGTGGTGAACCTATCCTTAATTAGTTTCGCTGCCTTTGGACCAGACGAAGATACTGTTGCTAGGAGTGTCCAAGGTGAAAGACGTCGAAAACTTCTGGCAGGACTTTGAAATTGGTGTTGGGAAGTGTGGACTAAAAGGCTTTATGATGGAAGGACTGTCGGTGAAGTTTGGGCTGCAAATAATTCGAGTTAAAAGAAATCGCAACAACCCAAATGGGTTAGTGGCCGACGAAATCTCAGTCCAAGCACAAAAACCCTGCTCGACATTCGTCTACTTATCAGAGGCACCGCACTTTTCTGTCGTATTTTACGGATGACGGCTGTTGGAAGTAGGTGTGAAGAGGTTACAGGTTCTCGAAAGCAGGTATTATTTCAGCTTTGCTCACGTATGACAGAATCACCGAACGAGCACTGCCGAGCTTAAGCAAAAGGTACTAGACAAGGAATGCAAGTCGGTCGGTGAGATTGTGGGCGTTTGGAGCCCAAGGTGGGTTGGTCTGAGTAACATATGCCGAACCACCACCTACCTTAACGTGCAATATTAGCCGAGATAAGAATTGGTTGGTAGGTGACCAGAACTAAGTTAGATACCAGCCTATAAAGTCTCTAACTTGGTCTGAGTCGTATGAGAAGGTTTAGACTGCCTAGGTAGGGTCATCAAGACAAGAGGAATCCGTGGTTGGAGACTCTTAGCGACATGGTTGAAAATTGATGACAATGGAACAGATTTACTCACACTACGAAGTTTTTGAAAGTTTGAATATTTTCACTAGCCTTCATTGTTTTGAAAACCCTCAATCATTTCACACACTTTTGTCTACTACTGTGCCACCATGTTTCTGTCAACGTGTGCTTTGCACGCAGGAATTTGAGTCAACGCACTTCTGTGCGAGGTTCTACCTTGATTTCGTCTATCTGTGAGTTTGACAACCAGGTGGATAAACATCATACGGTGCGGTAATTCCGGGGTAAGAAGTTGAAGATAGATGGAGACCCAGAGGTGTTGGCACTAACATGAAGCAGTCCGCTACATCCAGCGTTCCCTACAGTGGATGATGAGTCTCAGTTCATAGAAACCGTTCCTAACACGGCTGCCTAGCAGTTAAATCTAGTCAAGGTAAAACAACCGATGAGTATTATTCAGTTGACAGCAGTAACCAGACACTTGATGAGTATGGTGGCGGCTTCGGTGGAGCTCCGAGAGGTGGATCAGTGGGAGAAACAAGTAAACGACATCGAAATCGAACGCAATCCACTTAGCAAACTTGTCCACGTTTGTGTAGCAGGCGGTGAACCACATCTATTGTGTGAGGGCTAGTGACACTATCTAATTGTCCGGATTTCGGTAGGTGGAGCTAGGTTCAAATCTGTGACCTATCGGTTGGGAGTTTATTGCCCAAGTCAGTCGGTCACAGCTCCATAAGCAAACGATATGCAATAGTAGATAGCTGCCCTTCACATGAGCGTCAGTCGACGGGACAAGTACAGTTATTGATGAATGAAAGTGATATATAAAAGCAGCATTCATCATGAGACAGAAATAGTATCGGTTTATTCGAATACCATTTGAACTAACACGTACATCGTTTGAATTTGGATAGTTTATGACATTACTGCTCCAGAATTTGGAAAAAGTAGAGGTTTACGATGATAATTTGATGGTGTACAGCCCAACGGAAAATAACAATCTAAAGCATGTGGAAGGCGTGCTAAGATGAATTAAAGAATTTGAATTGCGGATTAGTAAGACAATATACTAGTCAGCAAGAAGCGCTATATTGTTGGGAGAAAACGCTGGAAATAACAAAGTGAACCCTCACCGGAGTTTTCGATTACAGAAACCATAGTAGCACCACGTTCGAAGCAGAAACTGAGACAGCTCTTGTGGGAAAATGGTTTTCTACAGGTGCTTCGTTAAAATCTTCAATGACGTGGCAGCGTTTCCTTATAAGTTGGTGAATACGCGAAGATTTGTGTGGACCGATATGTTTCATATAAGACATGAAACATACTCATGGAATGTATTGACTATTTTTCGAACACACAATAAGTTTACGGAACTCTGTACTGAAGAATCCCTAAAGTTCGTTGTAGTTTCAGTGTTGTGACTTAAAATCGGATTCGAATCTTGATACTAAAAAGCCTGTGTATTGACATCTTTAACAGACTGTCAAATCATATTGCAATGCGCTGGTCGGTAACATTTTACAATGTTCATCACTTGGACCATCCCACTGATATATCCATAGTATCTTGTAAGAGAGGCCTATAGTCATCACTGCATACAGCCTGTTAAAGTTTGGTATCTGCAAGCATGCGAACAGACAACTTAGAGTAACGCCATAACTCACTGACAGAGTAGAGAAAAGAGGAAGTAAGCTACTACAAAAGTCCGTTGGATCGAGTATTCACGTTCATGTTGGTTTTGCTTATCAACCTTAAATTCATCTGAGGAAATAATAGGTAACAATGGGAACGCCAACACTTCCACTGCAACTGACAATCGATGGAGAATAACTGTTAATGAAATGAATCTTGTTGATGCCATAGATTCTCGGGGAGACGGAAACTCCTGTTTGGTGCAGCTACCTACGTTCATTTATACTGAAGGATGTCTGCAAGTTTTTTAGGGATATTAACTATGAATTAAAGTCAGTGAGCCACCATCAGACAAATCAAAAATTGCCGTGACTAAATCCTTTTTCAAAAACTGCTGCCCCATGTTATCCCCTGGTCTTATTCCCTAAATTACCATAATTGTGAAGGAGCATTGCCTCGATTAAGCAAGATGGTCTGAACGGTTATGTTATTTACACCACCAATCCTTATTTAGCTATCCCACAGCGATTCACATCGTCTGAAACTCAACGCAAGTTTGAAACACTAGAAGTAGATGAGTGTCAAGTCACGGAAAGTCGGTTGCCTCTACTGTATTTAAATACAGTATATCAGGTTATTTTGCCATCACTTTTGTAGGATGATTTTGTGGAAGTACTCTCATATGTGTACTCGTTAAGTTAGCCCTTACACTCCTCTCACTACCTGCAAGGCGTTGGACACTAACTACTTTAGTACGCCATTTCAGCGTTAGTTTTGGTAGTGAAACACGGTTTTTTTTCAACGATACGATGAATCAGCTCACCTGGATACACTTGATTCTGCTGGTGTTTTTCTTATAAAGATGATCTGCAGCAATTAATTGCTGATCCTAACAAGTCCATATCCAGCGTTCAAAAAGAATAGCAGACGGAAGCTTAACTAAAACTGATTTTCCTAGTCACATATACATTAGCCATTCACTTGTAGATAACAAGAAACATTCAGCTGTCACTTAGCAGTCGAGGACTACGACTACAACAAACCGTTATTTTGGCATGCATAACGCCAGGGACAGCAGTTAAAATCCTTACTTCTAGGTCCATTTATACTAAGTTACTACATTCTGGGGACAGGCAATTGTAAGGTGATGCACACATATGCTGCAAACATCATCCAGTGAACAGTAAGATGTCAGATTCTCGAATGTTCAAGCAGCGAGGAAAACCCTACGCAATTAGAAAGTAGTTTGAGAGAATTGAAAACCAAATAAATTCTCTTAACTTTGCTAAATGAATACTTAAACAATACAACTGGGATTACTATTGATTTCAAAGCACGGAAAACAGTTATTGATCCTAGGAGAATCCACCCAGACGATGTGGGAATTTTTACTGCTATCCTGTGCATATGATCCCTATACCTAAATAGAGTATGTGCTCAAAAACTTAGTATAGACTAAACTACAACGTAAATCGCGCGGTGTAGTAAGACTTACGAGAAAACAATGAATTGAAACAAATATTCGTTTTTTAGCAACAATTGTGAGTGTGGATGAGAGCAATAGATACTTACGCCTTATATATATTCGCAACTCAACAGAAAATAAAATCTTCTGGCTCTTTTTCAAGGTAGATGGATTTTTTCCTACCAACCAGTCTTCAAGTAAAAATGTGAAAATAATTTGATTATCAGGTTTACAAGAACTCTATTTCACCCACATATAAGTCACAGTCCTACTAGTACTTTTCCA